AAAAGTGAGAACCTGAAGTTTGGCCAACTATTCATACCTAATCAGAAAACAATCAAGTTACAACAACAATAAAAACAGAACCAAACTTCACCCCAGCAAAGGCAGGCTAGAATTTTATACCAGACATACAATCAACAAAAGAAATATGAATGCCCAGATCACATAAATGATATTAAAAAATTCAAGATAATATGCTTCCACCAATCTTGTACAAGTAAGTACCCAGAAGTACCCAGAAGATCTCCAGCACACAGAACTTAAAAGGACAACCATAAACATGATTAAAGACTTCAAGGATTTTAAAGAACGCTTCATGACTGAAGCTCAATAAATACAAATATACAGTTGATTATATGTGAGTATATATCCTGATATAATTTCAGGAACCAGGAAAATGGAAAGGAAACAGAGAGATACAGAAATAGAAGGGAAAGAAGGAACTGAGAAAAAAGAATAGTTGGAGACAGGAATTACTAAGAGAGAAATGAGTAAAATGGAGGAATTGAAATGGAAGTGGGAGAGGGAGCATTATATAAGGAACTATGGGGAGAAAGGAGAAGAAGGAGTTCAAGAGATGGGTCCATAGGAGACAAGTATTATCAACGGAGAAATGGGGAAAATGGGGATACTTTAAATGGGGAGGGCAAGGAGGGAGGGATAGACAGGGAGAGAGAGGAGAGAGATAAATAATACACTAGCTAGTGTAAAAACCCACAGGGAATTGTATTAGTCCAAAAACCTACTGATAAATTACATATATAATATCACTACATGAATTCATGTGTATAGCTGAAGGCTACATAACAAGAAACAGTGCCATACAGGAGAAAGCTTTCTTTGAGTTGTTGGCCAGAATAGTCCAAGAGACTTCCAAAATTACCCAGGCTATTGACACAGCCCTTGATCACCTCCCAGAACTTTTGAAGGTAGGACCCTATTGCTGAAGACAAGATATACTTCAGTCACAGGATTTAGAGCAATGGAGCTGGAACTGACCTGGAAGCCAGCTCCCCTAAAGGCTAGCTCTGGAGAGCACTACACAAACTGCTAAGGGAGAACATCAACTGACGGTGCAACCCCAGCTTTAAGGTCTAAGAAACACATCAGTGACCAGCACAGCAAAAGACTTTGGTGCAAGTAGTAGCACTTTAATCTTGGAGGCAATCAGCAGTTACCTAATTGAACATAAAGTCCACTCAATGTGAGCAAATTCGGGTGGTACTATAAACACACCCAAATACACATGGCTGGAGAGGCCGTAGATCTTAGAAAAAAAAAAAACCCAAGGCTGTCACATCCCTATACAAATGTGCAAAATATGGATCTTTATATTTATAGACAAGTATTCCAGTCACCATTCATCAATAGAGCTTCTTTTGCAGCAGAGATTATTGCAGCACTCCATAATTGGTCATACACAGAGATTATCTGTGAATTGCCCAAGCCTAAGTGACACATCTACAATGCAACCTCTACACGTAAGGCTCATGGAACATGGAACAAGGGATAAAGAGAACATTAATTCATCTTTTAACTTTCATCAATGAAGCTCCATCATGCAACAGAGGGCCATGAACACAAAAGGTCACAAATGGCCAAAATGTACAGAATAAAAGTCCACAGTATGTAGGTATTTGGACATGGCTCCTATATTAAAATCCACCCTCCCAGGGCTCAGGGACCATTGGGGAAGAGGGGGTGGAAAGACTTTAAGAGCCAGAGAGGAGGTGCATGACCATATGGAAATAGGGTCCTACAGGCTTCTGGGACCCTACTCATATGAACCTACAACAATGGTGTCAGCATGCATGAGACCCATGCAAACTCAAGCAGACAAAAACCTAGCACAGAACTGTGGAAGTGGGCAGCAAACCCCAACCTTAGTCAAAGAATTATAGTGCTGGGTGAGGAAGAGCTGATCTCCTTAAAGGGAAGGACTCTAGATAGGCTGACTAGACTTCAGTAGATGAACTTGCACTGAGGGATGCCTGGGGACATGAACTTGATACTATAAGCCTTAGCAAAAATAAGAGAATGTATGAATTCCAGTGTGGAGGGGGAGGTTATGGCAGGGGACCAAGGGGAAGGGGGTATAAGGATGATTAAGATGTTCCATATGAAATACACAAAAATTCAATAAAAAATTTACAAAACAAATATATTGCTGAATGAAATGATAAAGACAATTCAGGATTTTAAAAGTGAATATATGAAATAGGTTGAAATGTTAAAGAAAACACAAGCTGAACTGAAGATCAAATTGAAAAATTCAATAAGCCAATTTGAAATAACAGTAGAAGGCCTCATCAACAGAATAAACCAAATAGAAAACAGATTATCAAGCCTGGAAGATAAAGTTGGAAAACTGAACTAGTCAAGCAAAGACCAAGAAAAAAATTTAAAACACAGAAATGGAATATGCAGGAAATGTGCGACACCATAGAAGACCAAATCTATGCATTATAGGCATAGAGGATGGAGAAGAATCTTGGGTCAATGGCACTGACTACATCTTCAACAGGATTATAGAAGAAAACGTCCCTAAATTAAGGAAAGTCATACCCATACAGATACAAAAAGCACACATGTATGACGTCAAATACACAGGACTAGAAGAGAAACTGCCCAAAGCATATCACAGCAAAAACATTAAATGTGCATAACCAAATTGGGAGGGTACTAAAAACTGCAAGAGGAAAACAACAAATTACATACAAAGGAAAACCTTTAAGAGCTAAGTGATCACAGATGTCAACCCAGAATACTAGTTGAAGGGGAAAGAAAAATCTCCCATGATACAAATAGGCCAAAAGAATTCATGTCTGCCAAACCAGTCCTCCAGAGACTACTCAAAGCAATACAAAGGACTAAAGAAAGGAATAACCATACTCAAAAGGCTACAGAAAGAAAACAAATGAAGGTATAATTACAGAAACACAAACTAAGACTAAGAACACAAACAGAAAGCAAAATGACAGCAATCAAAACACACCTTTTAATAATAATTGTAAATATCAATGGCCTCAATTACCAGTCAAAAGATACAGACTAGTTGAAAGAATTAAGAAACAAAATCCATCTTTCTGTTGTCTATAAGAAACTCATCATACCTTCAAGGATAGGCACCACCTGAAGGTGAGAGGATGGAAAAAAAAATTCCAAGTAAATGGCCCTAAGAAACAAGCAAGTGCTGTTACTATAATACGTAGCAAAATAGACTTCAAACTACAATGAATCAGAAGAGATAAATACAGTTTATTCCAATCAAGGGAACAACTGGCTAAGAAGACTCTACAATCATGAACATATATCCAACAAAGTCTGGTGCATCCAATTTCATAAAGAGTACTACTGAACTTCAAGACATAGATTAATCCCAATTCAATAATAGGTGATTTTAATACCACACTTTCTCCAATAGGCAGGTCATCTAGACAAAGAATAAACAGAGAAACAGCTGAATTAAATGTATCATACATCAAATGGACCTAACAGACATCTATAGAATATTCTACCCATGCACCAAAGAATATACATTCTACTTAGCAGAGACCACATATAGGGGAAAAAACCTCAACAAACGCAAAAATTGAAATTTTTTTTCAATGTATCATATCACAATGCAATAAAGTATAAAATCAACAGCAAAAGAAACTCTGGTAACTACATTAACTTATGGAGATTAAACAACACACTCTTCAATGATGAATGGATCAAAGAATAAGTCAAGAAAGAAATGAATGTATTTCTGGGACTAAATGAAAATGAAAACTGATCACAACAAAATCTCTGGGACACATTAAAAGCAGTCCCAAGAGGAAAGTTTGTACCTCTAAGTGCTTACATTTGAAAATCAGAAAGAGCACAAATAAATGACTTAATGGTAAAACTCAAGAATCTGGAAAAACAAGAACAAATCAAATCCAGTAGAAGAGAAAAATAATAAAAGTCAGACCAGAAATCAGTGAAACAAAGAAAACAATCCAAAGAATCAATGTGTCTAAGAGCTGGTTCTTTGAAAAGATAAACAAGACAGACATACCCTTAGCCTAGCTAAGCAAAAGAAAGGGCAAATCTAAATTTAAAAAAAAAAAATCAGAGACAAAAGGAGAAACCTACAACAGACATCAAAAAAATCCAGAACATTATACAGGAATACTTTAAAAACATATACTCAATTAAATTAGAAAATTTACCACCAAAGTTAAACCAAGAAGAGATCAACAATATAAACAGACCCATAAGAAATAAGGAAATCTAAACAGTGATACACAACTCCTAACTCATAGCAGACTTCTACCAGACCTTCAAAGATCTATAACCAATAATGCTTAAATTATTAAAAAAGAGAGAACTCCTTCTATGAAACCAATACTACTCTAATACCCAAACAAGGTAAAGACACAACAAAAAAGAAAACTACAGGCCTATATACCTAATGAGATTAAATGCAAAATTCTAAACAAGAAATTTGCAGATAGCATACATAAACATATAAAAAAGATCATTCCCACTGAACAGGCTGACTAGACTCCAGGGGACACATTTACACTGAAGAACATTTAGGTACAAACACCTGGATGTATAGGACTCAGCATGTATGGCAGAGTGCATAGGGTTCAGGGGCAGGGGGAGACATGGATAAGAAGGGGGTCTGGATGTGAGTGGGAAATATTGTATGAAATTTTAAAAGCTGAATAAAAAAAAAAATTTAAAAAAAGATCATTTACCATGATCAAGTTGGCTTCATTTCAGAGGTATGGGGATGGTTCTATATACATAGGCAAATAAATGTAATGAATCATATAAATGGACTGAAATACAAAAGTCACATAATTATCTCAATCAACACAGAGAAGGTCTTGACAAAAATTCAACATGCACTCATGATAAAAGTACTAAAAGAATTCCTTGAAGAACCTCTGGGCCTCGGCTGTTCACCACTGGAAGTGCGGTGGGAAGTGCAGCCTGAAGCTCAGAATCTCCTCTGGCCACGGAACACAGCCTGCCTGACTGGAGTTGGGTGCTGGAAATGATCTGAAGAGATTTACTGCATGTGGAGTGTAACTACTTCGGACTGTGCTGTGTTTATTGCAACAATGCTTGGGAGAGTGACTCTTCCACAAATGCTTTTTGCTTCCATCCTTGGAATTGCTGGAGGAATGTATATTTACCAGCCAATATTTGAACAATACTCTAGAAATCAGAAGGAATTAAAAGAAAAGGTGAAGTTGGCAAAAGAATCAGAAGAAAAGAGAAGTTAATACTGTATGAAGCGATAATGTAGTAATTGTTTAATGTCCATTAAAGTTATATATTTACTACCATTTAAAAAAAAAGTCCTAAAAGAAATTGGACTGGAGGAAACATACCTTAACATAAAGTTATATATAACAAACCCACTGCCGGTATCTTTCTAAATGGAGAAAAACTCGAAGCATTTCCATTAAAATCAGAAACCAAACAAGGCAGTCCACTATCCCTACTTCTTTTCAATATAGTCCTTGAAACTCTAGCTATAGCAATAAGACAAGAAAAGGAAATTAATGGGGTACTAATTGGAAAAAAAGTAAAATTATTACTGTTGCAGATGATATAAGAGATTCCAAAAATTCCACTAGAAAATTCTAGAAATCATCAACATTTTCATCAAAATGGCAAGATCCAGTGAATGGACACACATGAAAGGACATTTGGAGACACAAATTTGACTTGATAGGCCTTAATATATTTAACAGACTACATGAAACCTAGCAGGAGGCTACAAAAAGGTGCTGATAAGGGAGGGGGGTCTAAATATGATTAAAATGTATTGTATGAAATTGGCAAAAATTCAATTTTAAAAATAAACAAAAGAATGTTCTCACCACCTAATGTCTTGTATTTAGGAGACTTCAGCACAAATTGTTACATTCTACTTCCCTTGATTCTCTCTAACCACCACTCTCAGGCCAGAGGCTATTATGAATAGGACAGTTGAAGCAAGTATCCAAGGAAATGCATTACCTAGGTAAAATGACCATCAGCCTAACAGAATATATAAAGATGGAGAAATCTTTGGGGATTAAAATCAAAAGTCTTAAGTATAACATAGAAGACCCTTAATCTTGGCTCAATAATTTTCCTGTCCTGTCTCTTGCCATTCCCTGCTCATATTCCAAGATCTAGATTTACCATATCTCTTTGCCCTTGCATTTGTTTGTTAGCCATGCCAGGGGCTGCACCTGTCTCTCCTGACTCCAACTTGGTGAACTTCTACCCATTCTGCAAGACTTAGCTCATGACTTGGCTACTAAACTTTGAGTAAATATGTCACCTCATCCTCCTAGTTCATGTAGCACAGAGCTGGGATACAAGGAATGTTCATTTGATTAGAACAAGAAAACAATAATCCAGCCTCATAATTCCAAATGCTGTTTCTTCCAGGTTTCTTGCATTTCAAGAGAAACACTGTGTATCTGATTAACCTCAATAATGGTCTATCACTGAATCAAAGCATGGCAGGTAATGATCATACGACCCACTTCATGGCATTGACTTTACGGCTCTTGGTATATTTTATGCTGTGGTGGGCACTTTCTTTGTTGCAAAATGTTTCTTTGACTCCTACTAAATTTGCCTTCTCTCAGAGAGCTTCACTACAAGATTTGCCTATCTCTCAGTGCCAAATACTTTGCCTTAATGAAGTGGGAATAAAAAGGCCCAGTTCAGATGCCAGCAACTAGAATTTTTATGCTGAATCTGACTCATCAAGTCTATTTCTCTTAGCTTCAAGCTCAATTTCTTTGTAAGTAAAGGGAAAAAAACTCCTGCTGGACATACCTACCTCAAGTAATTATTGTGAGAATCATAAAAAAAATAGTACATAAAAATAGTACTTACAAAAGTAAGACATAATGGATTTGACTGTTATATGATTTAATAGTCTCAGGGGTGGAGAGATGGCTCAGTGGTTAAGAGCACTGGCTGCTCTTACAGAGGACCCAGGTTTGATTCCTAGAACCCCACGGAAGCTTATAACTGTCCATAATTCTAGTTCCAGGGGAATCTGGTGCCCTCCTCTGATGTCCGTGGGCATTGCAGGTCATGGGTGTTACACACTTGCAGGCAATACACTCATACACATAAAATAAAAATAATTTTAAGTACTTTTTTAAAAAAGTTAATAAGTCTCAAATACACTAACTTATAGCAGTCTTTGAGTTAACTATAAATACAATAGAATAAATCACTGCTCTTGTGCTTGAAAAAGTAAGTCATCTCATCACAGCTAAACCATTCTTATCCTAAATCAATTGTCTTCTATTTTTTTTTCTCATTTTCCTACCAAACTTAAGCATGACAAGCCATTCCCATTTGTATAACTTTTCTCACTGCTATGACCAACACCTGAGAAGACACTATCCAAGGATGGAAAGGTTTATACTGGCATACAGCCTGAGGGGATTATTCCATCACAGTAAGGAAGACATGATGGCAGGATCATGAAGCACCTGGTCATGTTGCATCAACAGTTAGGAAGCATGGAGAGAACAGGAAGTGGGGCCAGGTTATAAAACCTCTAAGCCTGCTTCCAGTAATGTACTTCCTCTGGCAAATTACCACCTCAAAAAGTTTCCACAATCTTCCCAAACAACATTACCAGCTGGGAATCAATATTCAGACAAGAAAACCTAGGAGGGACATTTCACATTCAACCAAAATATTCTACCTCTGGTTTCCATAGGCTCATGGTCATCTCAATAAGGCAAAATGCATTCAATACAGCTTTAAAAGTTCCCATAGACTTTTAACAGTCCCTACACTTCAAAAGTTCAAAGTCTCTTCTGAGACTCAATCTCTTAACTGTGAATGCCTATAAAATCAAAATATAAGTTATACACTTCCACCATAAATAGTACAGAGTAAACATTCCCATCCCAAAAAGGAGACCAAAATCAAGAAAGACAAGCACCAAATCCCAAAGTTCCATGTCAGATATCTGGGGCTCCTGATGGAATCAGGACCTGAGTAGCCTGGCCACTCCTGATCTTCTGCCTATAACACTCATAGCCTCTGCCTTTGGCAGTCTCCATTCCTGCCTGGATCTTCCCTTGGAGGATGTCTCATGGTCCTGGTATCTCCAATATCCTGGGATCTCCATTGCAACTTAGGCTTCTCCATTGCATGTTCTTAGCTTCACACAATCATCTCTTGGGCCCTCATTTTAGAGACTGACACTGCCACTCATTGCTCCTTGCCTGGCCCCAGAGGCTCTCTAAAATCATAGAATAAGACTTCATGGTCCCCTCAATCTTGCATCTTTCACGCCTGCAAAACTAGTACTACATAGATGATACTGCCAAGTTCTGCTGTCAGCTCCAGATGTAGCCTGGCCCTCAGACCATGGCTATAGTGGCATCTGTATGTCTTGGTGGTTGAATCTGCAAAAGCACTTTCCTAGGCAGTTTATTTTTGACAGAGAAACCCTTTCTGAGGCATTTTAAGTTCAGGTTTTCTCCTTTCAAATAATTCAGCATTTTTACAAATTAGAACTTTTGATGGTTGGGATCTTGTCTCAGAGTACCTTTCATATTACCCCAATGAAGACATGAAGTTTCATATTAACAGTTACAGATGCTTTGTCATCTACACTCTCCTTGTCCACATTTATCTTGCTTACACAACTTTCCCCACTAAACTTCAGGTTTTTCCTATCTTTTTGTTCTCTCACTGTACATCTAAATAAGAGCGGTGGTGAGTAACCATGCCACAGTCAGAATGCTATACTGTCTTGAAATTTTTTTCCACCAAAGGAATTCATCCATTATTTTTTATTCAGCTTCATTCAAGTTCTGAGGGCCTAGTCAGAACACAGCCAGGTTCTTTACCTAAATGTAGTAAGAAAAGCCTCTAGCCCAATTCCAGATAAAAGTCCTTGTTCCCCTCTGAAACCTCATGAGCTGGACCTCCACTCTTTGCATTCCCTTTGGCATTCTGGTCTTCTAAGATCTCACCAGAATGGCCCAGTAAGCTCTACTTACAGCATTCTAGGGATTTTCTATCCCAAAGTTCCAAATTCTTCCATACTCCTCCAATAAAACAGTTCCAAAGCCTAAAAATCACATGATTAGGTTTATACTAGCAATGGACAAATTTTTAAGTATAAATTTTTCTGTTTAGAGTCTTTTCTCATTACCATAACCAAATACCTGAGAAGAAACTCTCCAAGGGAAGAAGGGTGTTTATTCTGGCTTACAGTTTCTCTGACTCATTCCATCATGACAGCAGTCAGGGAAGGCATGGCAGCAGGAGCAGGGGTTTACAGGTCACATTGCATCCGCAGTCAGGAAGCAGAGAACAGGAAGTAGAACAGACCTTGAAAGCCTCAAGGTATACCTCCCAGTGACTTACTTCCTCTGGCAAGATTCTGCCTCATAGTCTCCACACCCTTCCCAAACAGCACCATCAGCTGAACCAGATGTTTAAATACGTGAGCTTATGGGGTATGATACCATTGGTAGCTTGGTATTTAGCAAATATTGGACTGAGCATTATGGATGCTGTGAAAAGCAGAAATAAACATTTTCCTTAGACTACTGGAACTCAAAGTCTCAAGAATCAACATGGACAATGAGCCAACACACACACACACACACACACACACACACACCAATAATGACTTAAATAAATACACATGTGTATGTGGGCATGAGAGCAGTCCTACAGATGTGAACACATTTCACATGGTGAATTGACACTTTGGTGCTGGAAGAGATTTTAAGCTCTACAATTTTATATAATAGAATTGTTTCTAAAGTTAATGAATTAAGTAATTGAAGTATAAAGCAAAGCAGTCTAGATAGAAATCAGGAGAACTAAATATAGAATAAACTCCAGAATCATCTACATAGTTTGGGAGACCTGATGCAAAAATGAAATATAGAATTCTCCTATTCAAAAATGCTAAGAATTTTGACAGCAAGAGTTGGACCTATAAAGTAAGCCTGGAGCCCCCTTATGGCTGCCCAAGTCATATGCCTATGAAATCCTCACAGTTTGCCAGCTTATTGGATGTGCAACTTTTACCTAGTCACTTAACTTACCTGATTATTTTTATAGCTATAACACAGAGAAGGAAAGAAAAGACCTTTAGCTCCTTCCCATAACTAGCATCTGTGACTCTCTGTGAAGAAGCAGATAATTCATTTGGAGAGCATTCTTTTATGAAACCATTAAAATTCTGACAGTGACTCAAAGCTGCTGTTAAAAACTCAAACACAGTATTTCACCATCAACCATACTGACATTTTTTATTTCTATATACCTCCTTAATTTTGCCTAAGAGAAAAAATATCCAAAGCAGTGTTCCAAGTTTATTATTTTCCCATGTATGCCATTTAAATTTGAAATTCCCAACTGAGGTCTCTATGTCTAGAAAGTAATTTTCCCACAGTAAAATGTCTCGTTGCACAAATTAGATATTTTCTTTTTCCTACCCCTGAAAAATTATCTATTCAGAATCAACTTCCACATATGGTGCAGCATCTGGGTCTGATCCAGTGAACAAAAGGCAAAATGTCATGTAGAAAGTGAGTTAACCCTTTCATTTTACCGGTTTTAGCATTTACTACAGCATAACTAATAACTATCTACACCAGGGGTCCTTAATCCTGAGTCCATGGATAGTGTTCTGGGCATTCAACAGCACGTGTGTACAAGAGTGTATCTTTATTTTCATCAACATCTGAACTTAAAGTTTAACATTTTCTTCAATTATAAACATAGGAAAGAAAATCACCAGAGTATTAGCAATATCTATGACTTAATCATTGGTAATTTTATACATCCTTTCATATTATATTATTTATTACGTTATTTCTTGAAATTCCCTTTTCCTCAACATTACCTTAAATTTATAATAGTGTTATGTTCATCATTATATCATGAGAGACTGGAGCAGAAAGATTGCAATTTCAGTCTCCCTGGGCTACAGATTGAGTTCAAGGTCAGTGACTTAGTGAGACCACCTCAAAATAAGAAGTAAAAAGAGGGCTGAGGATGTAGGCTTGGGGCACAGCACTTAGTATATGCCAGGCATTAGGTTCAATCTCCAATACCACAAAAACAAACAAATATCAGTTTAAAAAATCATATATATATTAAAATACAAAAATGATTTTACATTTAGATAAATATATTTCAATATAATTTCTTCTTTTGTAACCCTAATTGGCTCATTTTATAAATTTTAAAACATGATCCCAGGGCAAGGTTCACATATTTTATCAGACTTCCAAGGGAGTCCATGGAGCATAAGAGATTAAAACAAAACAAAAGTTAATAGAAGTTACCTGTGAATAACAAGTAATGCATGACAATAAAATAGAGACAGCTGTACTGTGATCTGACAAGTAGTACCGGAACCCATCTATGACAAAAGTCCTTAGAATTCTAATTCATAAACAGTGTGTATATTACAAGATCTTTGAGTTTCATATATTGTAATACAAAAATCAGACATCAAAACAAAACAGTTTTGTGGTTGTTTTCTGTTGCTTCTTTTTTCTGTTTCCTTTTTTTTTTAATTTTAATGCGTTATTTCACATATGACCATAGGATTCAATCTAAAAAGGCATAAACTAAACAGATGTTTTAATATCATCAAGGAAAACATTATTTGGATTGGTACCTGAGATGACAGAAGATTACAATCGATGAACAGTCCTTTTCCAGTTCTGTATCGTTGTATCAATCCAGCCATAATGGCTCCATAAGCAAACAGGCCAGTGGCAAGATCAGTCATGGCCACTCCTGGACGGACTGGATCCCCATCCTGATGAGGGGTGGGGTGGAAAAAACAGAAATTGAATATTGAATGATCTTATGATGTCTCAGATATTCTAAGGCTAAATAAAAGAATTACATTTGAAGCATGCAGACCTATATATGAGCACACACACACACACACACACACACACACACACAAATTCGATGAATAAATATTAAGGAGATCTGTTGATGAGAAAGTGTTTATAATTACCATAAATTTACCACTCTATTTCTCAATACACTTACAAGCCAAGCTAAACCAAATCAAACAAAATAAAAGATCTTTATACACACATTGAAATTCCTTTTTCATAGATTTTTACTTATCTAAATAAAAAATGAATAAATAAGCAGTTTAATTTGAATTTAAATATGTTAATCTTCTACAGAAGAGATAAAGCTTATTTCTCTCCTGTTGGGTGAAAGGCTCTCTCAGAAAAGGAGGAAGAGGAGGAGAAAGAAGAGGAAGATGAGGAAGAAACCTGTTCTAATTTCCTTATAATTACGTTACTAGCTGGCAAATATCCTAATGGCATATGCCTTTAAAAAATACAAAATAATACATATGTGTGAAAATTCCATAATGAAACACACTACTTTGTACAATAACTTAAAACGTTATTTTTTAAGATGATTTTAAAAAGGACTAAGCTAGTCAAATTAATCTGCTAACCTATATTTCTGTATTTCTGTTGGTAATAGCAGTACTATGTTATAAGACGTAGAGACAAGCAGAGTCATTACAATCCCTGAAAATGACTATAGAAGATCTTAATGTTGAGAAGCAACTTAATTATTAAAATTTCACTGTATCTAGTACTAACAGCTAAATGAAACTTCAAAAATTTGATTAAAAATTTTAGACTATCAATAAAAAGCTTATATAAGGGGCTGGAGAGATGGTTCAGGGGTTAAGAGCACTGGTTGTTCTTGACCCAGATTCAAATCCCAGCACCCACATGGCAGCTAACTGTCCATAACTCCAGTCCCAGGGGATCTGACAGCCTCTTCTGCCCTCCATGGGCATTGCACAACACAGGTGCACTTACCTACATACAGGAAATACACACACACACACACACACACACACACACACACACAAAATAAAAATAATAATTTTTTTAAAAAGCTTATGTAAAATGATTACCATGATAAACAAAACTAGAATCTGTAGATTTACACAACCAGAGTTAAGGCATAGGGCATGAGCTATGCAGCAATCAAGGTATAACATGAACATAGTGATGAGCAGAAGAGTTCAGGATGAGCAGACACTCCATGTGCCTCATTAATGATGTTATGTGCATCTATGGCCTAGAGAGTTTTAATTATTGTGGTCGGAAAGAATTCTTGGTGTCTGGGGCCCCTCTATGCTCCACTTGTGTCTTTTGATGTTTTATAAATTTGAAATTATTTTTTATTACTTTATTTAATTGTTTATTTTATGTGTATGAGTGTATTGCCTGCATGTGTGCAGGTGCACCTGTGTTGTGCCATGTCCATGGAGGTCAGAAGAGGGCATCAGATCCCCTGAAACTGGAGTTATGCATGGTTGTTAACTGCCATGTAGGTGCTAGGATCTGAACTCATGTCCTTGGCAAGCAAAGCTGGTACTCTTAACCACTGAACCAGTTCTCCAGCCCCTGAAATTATTTTTTTAAAACTTGATTGACTTCCAAGTCAGCCTAATGTGACCATCCAGTCTCTTAGTTGTTTCCAAATACTATGATTTAAAAAAAAAAAATACCCAGACAAACGTAACTTAGGGAATAAAGGGTTTGTTTTAGCTCATAATTCCAGATTATAGCTCATCATAGCTGGAAAATTACAGGAGTGCAAGCTTGAGAGAACATCATAGCCAAAGTCAAGAACAGGAAGCAGTGAATAATGCATGCATATGTGTGCTCTGCTCCTTTTTTCCACTCCTATACAATTCAAGATCCCCTGCCTAGGGAATGGTGCCACCCACATAGGCAGGTCTTCCCTCCTCATTCAGGATAATCTCCCCACAGGCTAACCAGACCTAGACAATCCTTCACAGAGACTCTCCTCCCAGGTGATTCTAGATTGTATCAATTTGACAAAACTAATCATCACAGGCCAGGTATGGTAGTGCATACCTTTAAATCCAGCACTCAGAGGGAGAGGCAGGCTCTGTGAGTTCAAAACCTAATCATCACACAATCCTTGACTTATACATAAAAGTATTAGAACAATGTCTGACAAACAATTAGTCCTTTCTAAAAGTCTATTGGGGCTGGCTAGGTAGCTCCACCAGTAAAGAGCTTGTCATATAAGCACAGAGACCTGAGTTTGATCCCCAGCACCCACATAAACAGCCAGACAAGGTGGCAAATGCTTATGATCCCAGCACTGAGGAAGTAAAGACAGGCAGATCCCTGAGGTTCACTGGCCGATCAGCATAGCTTAACTGATCAGCCCTAAGGCTCAATAAGAGCCCTGTCTCACAATTAGCCCAGTCAGAAACTTAGGCCTAAAAGAACTTTCTGCTGTTCTGCAGCTAAACTGACAAGGCCCCAAACTGCTTTTTAAATATTTATGCCTAGACCCATAGACAAATGCTACACTGAGCCTTCATCAGAGAAGCTTCTCTTTGCAACGAGCAGCAGTGGATGTAGAGAGCCACGGCTACGTAAGGTGTTAAGAGAGGCATCTCTAAATAGGACATTTATATCTTCCCATCTAAGGCTCAGGGACTATCACAGAAGTAGGGATAGATGGAATTTAAGAAGTGAAAGAGAGGGAGAAGGGCTGTGATGTTTTATCTTCCGAGCAAGACACTGCCATTGAAATCATCTCGCAGAAGCTGCAGTTGCCTCCACTGGGCCTGCACAAGCCTGGCTTTTGTCATCAGTCAAACACAAATCAGGGAGGACTCAAGAGGCCACACCTACCCTGATGAACTAGACTACTTATAGTTTCTGGGAGATGGGGAGTCATTGTTTCAGTTGTGTATTCATGGATGAGCCCAGCAGGCTCCAAGGGACAGTATGAAACCTGTGGTCACAACACAGACAGCCTGGTTAAATTTAGTGGGCCACAAAACAAACAAAAAGGCATGAATATAGGAGACTTGAAGAGAGGGTGTAGATTGACAGGATTGGGAATGAGACAGGAGAGGGTGGAGGATGAGAATAACCAGAATGCATCATAGGTATGTATGAACTGTCAAAGAACAAATTTATTAAAAATTATCATAAAATAAGAACAAGGTGAATGCCTCCTAAGGAAAAACACTTAAAACTTTTTCCACTTTTGGGGCTGGAGAGATGGCTCAGTGGTTAAGAACACTGGTTGTTCTTGCAGAAAAACCAGGGTTCAAATCCCAGCACCTACATGGCAGCTAACAACTGTCTGTAACTCGAGCTCCAGGGGATCCAACAGCCTCTTCTGTCCTCCACGGGCATTTCATGACATGGGTGCACTTACCTATATGCAGGCAATATACACACACACATAAAAATAATAAGCTCCTGGCCTGCTGTCCTGCCCTCAGGCCTCTCTTGGGGTAAGTCTATCACGCAGCCCTCCACGCCTTGACTCCCCCAGCTGTGTTCACCCTTCCATCTCCCCCGCTGTTCTCTACTCCTAGTTTGGGCCCTGTGCCATTCCTAGTCTTGGGGCCCCAGACACCTGGGGAGCCAGTGCTGCTTACTGATCCTTTTAACCTGGACCGGCTTGGTGCCTTCCTTGGGCCCCAGGAGCACTGCTTCTCGACCTGGCCCCGCCCTTACCTCTGTCTGCTTCCCTGGGCATGCACCACCTGCTAACTCTCCTGGCCTACTCTCCTATCCTCAGGCCTCTTGGGGTGGGTCTGTCACGCAGCCCTCCACGCCTTGACTCCCCCATCCTCATTCGCCCTTCCATCTCCTCCGCTGTTCTCTGCTCCTGGTTTGGGCCCTGTACCATTCCTGGTCGTGGGTCCTTACTAATCCTTTTTGCCCAGGCCAGCTTGGTGCCTTTCTTGGGCTCCAGGAGCACTGCTTCTGGACCTGGCCCCACCCTCACCTCTCTCTGCTTCCCTGGACCTGCACCACCAGCTAAATCTCCTGGCCTGCTCAACTGCCCTCAGGCCTCTCTTGGGGTAAGTCTATGGCGCAGCCCTCCGTGC